TAGTGCAACGGAAATTTGAGTTTGGTAAGACTGATTTACGTAATTATACGTAACGTTCTGCGCCAGCCGCGACAATACCGAATATCAGATGCAAATCAATATCCGAGGTTCCTTTTCACTTTAGAACTTGAATTTGTAATAAGAAAGTAGCATTAATTCTTCAAAAGCAGATGAAATAGTTTTATTTTCGCTTTCATTATCAAAGTGAGTATTATAATTATAATCCATTTATTATTAATATTAAAAAAAGATCGCAATGGTTTTTAACAAAAAAAAAGACCATCCAAAAAAATTCAAATTTCAGCTATTTTTTACTAATACATGAACGGAAAATATATTCTCAATAAGTTGATTTGCATATAATCATGACAAAATCTCAAATTCATTGGATTAGTCCCAACCACTTCCATCTTGCTCTGAGGTATCCATATCCCAACCACTACCCTCATCTTGCTCTGAGATATCCACTTTCTGCTGTGGGATACCCCAACCCTGTTGTGGGTGATCCCAGAGATCCAATATAACGCTATTACGTAGATCATCACTTTTGTTTCCATAATGAAACCGACTTCGATTATCTCTCATATTACGTTGCTGAGGCGTAGATTTTTGTTGTGTTTTTTGAGCACCACCCATTTCCCATTTATCTTGATCAGATGCTGCCAAATTGGCCCAAGTAACTAGCTTTAGTGCTGGATTTTGTTGTTGAGTATACGCTTGCTGAGAAGTCGCCGAAGATTGTGAGACAGAGGTGGTTCCAACTTTCTTAACTTGATTTGAAACAGTTTGTCCATTTATTTGTGATGCTTCATACAATCCTTGAACATCAATTTCAGAGGTAATAGATTTACAATTCACATGTTTAGCTGATAGATTTTGGTCAGATGCATTTGGCGGCGATGTGCGTCTTCGAGAAATTTCAATTGGTTCATTTACAACTGGAGTAACTGAATCTTGAATAGTGTGACTATTTCTAATAGAATCTTTTCTAAGTGTATTATAAGTAATTTTAGGTCTAGTGGGAAGTGTTCTTGAAATTTTTCGAGGTGGCAATATCGTTGAAGAGATTGGTTTATCGGGAATTAATAACTTAGTATTAATGTCTAACCATAGTTTAGATTCGAAGAGTTGTAAGTATGGATAAAGCTTTTCTAATACTCGTTCACTTGAAATATTGAAATACCTAACGTGGGGAAGACAATT